ATGTTACACCAAGGCAGGATTACACTAATACATATTTTGCCCAAGTCTACTTCATAGATAGGGATTTGAACCTGGATCACCACGTAGCTGCACAATAGATTTTTTTTGCTGCCATAGCGATGCTACCATCAATTATTTCCTGGTTATATAAGTCTCTTTTCTATTGTACTGAACACACTGCGTTTAGTGTGCTTGCTTATGTACAAACAGAACTGTTATGTGATGCTTCTTTATATACTAATGTTGGTACAGTTGAACAGGACCGGGCATTGGTATGAATTAAATATTATTTTTGAGTGCTGTATTGCAGTGCTTCATGAAAACTGGATATCAGTGGTGTCCTGAAGCATTTATCTATGCATTTGGAGTATCAGTGGAGGGGCCATAGCTCCATGGTAGAGCATCTGCTTGGCATGCAGAAGGTCCCAGGTGCAATCCCTGGCATCTCCGGTTAAAAGGATCAGATAGTAGGGGATGTGAAAGACCTCTGCCTGAGACCCTGGAGAGCTGCTGTCAGTCTGAGTAGACAATACTGGTAGACCAATGGTCTGGTTCAGTATAATGCAGCATCATTTGTTTAATATTTTTTTCATCCTCAAGTCCTCTTGGAGGACAGGAGATGTGCCACAAAACTCAAGGAAGGCAAATGTTATCCCAATCTTCAAAAAAATAAAAAGAAAAGAAAAGAGGAAGGATGACCCTGGAAACTACAGGCCAGTCAGTCTGACCTCTGTTCCAGAGAAGAGACTGGAGCAGATTTCAAAGGGGTCAGTCTGCAAGCATCTGAAGGCCAACTTGGTGATCCAGGGAAGTCAGCATGAATTTGTCCCCAACAGGTTCTGTCAGACCAAACTCATTTTCTTTTTTGATTGAGTGATGACCATTGACATTGTTTCCCTTGATTTCAGGAAAGCTTTGAACAAGGTTCCTCATGATGTTCTGATGGGTAAAATGGAGGTCTGCAGACAAGATGCTAGGATAGTTATATGGATAAGAAACTGGGTAGAGGACAGCACCCAAAGAGTAGTTGTCAAAGGCTTTTCATCTGATTGGCGGGAGGGGTCCAGTGGGGTGCCACAGGGCTTGGTTCTGGGCACGGCACTATTCAGTATTTTTTAATATAAATGATCTGGATGAGGGGGTGGAGGGGACTACTCATTAAATTTCAAATAACACCAAACTGGGAAGAGTAGCAAACATTCCAGAAAATAGAGATAGAATTTAATGAGATCTGAACACATTGAAAAAGTAAATGGCTGTGAACAAGATGCAGTTCAACAAATATAAGCACAGAGTTCTGCATCTGGGTAACAAAAATGAGAAGCACACATACTCAGTGGGGGATATACTTCTGGGTAGCAGTGCGTGTGAACAAGACCTTGGGATACAGGTGGACTGTAGGATAAGTACGCACAATCAGTGTGATGCAGCAGCAAAGAAATGCGATCTTGGGGTGTATCAACAGAGGCATAACATCCAAATCTCAAGATTTGGTGGGTTTGTGGTTCATAGTTTGGTTTGTGGTTTGGCCATGAACCATCAACTGAAACAAACTGCAAAAATGCAGCTCGTGCCATCCCTAGTTGGTATATAGGCAGTATGGATCAAGACTTTAATTGGCATGCTGTTACTTGAGATGATTTTTTAAAAAATATGTCAGAATAGATTAGATTTTTATTCCTGGAAGCTTTTGATAAAATGCAACTCTGTAGTATGCATAATGGACCTGGAGGTACAGCAGAACACTGGAAAAGGCTGTTGGATTTAACATAAGAACAAACCATGGCACTATTTCACAGTCTGAAATACTAAAAGCCTCCTGTAACCACACAAGCAATTAAAGCAATTTTTTAAAAGCCAAGGGTCACCAGGGGAACATATAGTATGTTTTTCTGGTTAGTTGAAGTCGCTGTCGCTGTCGTCGTCGTCGTCGTCGTCGTCGTCGTCGTCGTCGTCGTCGTCGTCGTCGTCGTCGTCGTCGTCGTCGTCGTCGTCGTCGTCGTCGTCGTCGTCGTCGTCGTCGTCGTCGTCGTCGTCGTCGTCGTCGTCGTCGTCGTCGTCGTCGTCGTCGTCGTCGTCGTCGTCGTCGTCGTCGTCGTCGTCGTCGTCGTCGTCGTCGTCGTCGTCGTCATCATCATCATCATCATCATCATCATCATCATCATCATTTTGAATCACCCATCCCTGCTACTGCAGGGCTCTGGGCTATGTAAAACAGTAAATAAAAACTTTAAAACTCTACAATTAAAATACAACCGTACCAACAAATAAAGTTAAAAATCCAGATGGTGAACTGAAATCACTCCCCATTCCAGACTGCCCGGCTACCTCATGGGCAGGGGAGGAGGAGGAATGACTGATCTGGAGAGCAGAAGAGGGTGTCAGCTAGAGTGGAAACTGTTGCTGTCCTCAATCAAACACCTGGCAGAACATCTCTGCCTTGCAGGCGCGGTGGGAAATGCATGAGATCTTATGGGGCCCTGGCGGTATTTGCAGACAGTTCCACCAAGTTGGGGCCAGGACTGAAAAAGCCCTGGCCCTGGTTGAGGACAGCTGGACAACTTTGGGGCTGCGGACCACCAGCCAATTGCTATACGAAGAGTGTAACACTCTCCTGGGGACATACCAGAAGAAATGGTCTTGCAGATGCACTCTGAAAGTGTATAGAGGAAAGGAGCAGAAAAAGGCTCCAGGATGTGAGATTTGAACAGTAATGACTGCCACTTGAGGCACAATATCAGTGACTTTTCAACTCTTAATTGCTTATGTCTGCATGCATAGAGACCCAGACCAGTGGTGTTCAGATACCTGCAGAATAAATTATCACATCTTTTACTGTATGAATTATCACACCTTTGCCATGCTGCTTTTTGTCCATGGTCTTACTGGAAGTATTGAGAGGAAGATATGTTTGAGATGTTCCAAGAAAAGTCTGCCTGAAAGATTTGCTTCTGAGATTGCAGTGGCTCTTGGTATAGTGTGTCTGAGGTAGATGGCTTTCACATATTTGCATGTAGAAATTTGTTTCAGTATATCAACTCTACTGTTAGATTAGCGTTGAGGATAAGCTAAATAGATGCAAATTCAGAGGGGCAGGCAAGAGGCTGAAGCATTCCAGGTTCTTGTGTTACATACATCCCTTTTTACTTATTTTCATTTTGTTTTCCACCAAAAGCTTCATTGTTTATTTGAACTACATGAGAAAAAACATTTTTCTCTCTATATGACATTAGGTCTAACATAAAAATAAACCATGGCACCATTCTTTGTTCCTCAATGAGTGAGGTCCATAGCTGAGGTTAAAGTATGTTGTAGGTCAGATGGAAGCTTAGATGGAAAGGTCTTTTATGCTATTTACAATTTTCTTCATCATTCAGCTGAACCCTTATTTTGCTCATTAATTTATATTAATCCCACAAAGGTACAGTTTGAAAATTTGTATTCTGCTGATATCTAGATACTTTCGTGGTCCACAATGCCAGGTATCTGGAAATAGTTCTAGACTTTGTTATATACTCCATCTGACCAGAACATGCAAAAACCAAAATTGCTTTGTCTTTGAAAGTGCTTTTGATATACTTTTCCATCTTCTGTGATAGCACTGGAGTCATTATTGCAGCAGTTCACTCTGATATGCTTGCACAGACACAAATTGAGTCCGACAGGACTGATGTCTCATGGACTTTGTTGTCATTTGAAATGCTGGCATAAAGATGGTAGCAGTGAAAGCGGAGAGCTGGTGTTTTCATTGTGTTGCCTATGAAAGCTTCTTAGGTTTGTGTTTCTGGAAGCAACAATCAAATCAAGAATTGTACTTTTATAATAACATTTCTACAAGCTGCGTTTCATTTTCTCATCTCCAGTAGATTTTTAATATTTATCTGTGGTGTAAAGTGGGTTTTTTATAACACCCACGAATCAATGAAGATCTCTTTAGTAGAATGATAATTAGTATGATTTTTCCACTATACTGTTTTCAGCAGCACTGAATCCACTTGTGCATGATTTATATATACACACCTACCAAAGTGTATCTCTTACCGCTGGCTAGAAAAAGTGCAATTAAATTTCAGGTTTTATGTGACTGTTATTATGTACCTTGACATATTTATGTCTATTTTATGTACCTATTTTACCCCCCTTTGGTATCCTCTTGGTCAAGACTTCGGTCATAAAGACCTGTAATAAATTGAATTGAATTGAATAAATTTCAGTCTTATCTTAGTGACATAGTTGGTCTATGCCTATCAGAGGAGATCCATGTTGTATTTTGCAATTTCTAACACAGTTTGGATAGAGTGAATATAGCAGAGTAAAGTTGGTTGTTTCTTAAAGACAGATGTTCATACTGTATTATTCATTAGTTCTTACATATAACACAAAATTAAAGTGACTTTATTCTTTGAATTATGTACTTCATGTATTGCTTTACATAAATTAATATTTTAAAAAGTTAGGTGGGTGGATAGAGAAGCTTTTAGGATGCCAAACCAGTAAAGAGTTCATTGGATATCCATAAATACCAATATGCTAGCCTCGCTGATCTCGCATTAGAAAGGAAAGCTGATTTAACTCTAATTCTTACCTGATGCAAAGAAAGTAGCTTTTAGTATGTTGTTTGTTAGCAGGGTTTTTCCTGGAGGTTAAATCCTTCTAACCCCCTTTCAAGAGTATCTTTATGGCTTATTCCACTAAGTATTAAAAAAGGTCTTCTTTAAGAATGACAGCCCCTTCTCCTGATGTGATGCCAAAAAAGGAAAACATGTTGCAGCACATGGGAGCTGTTGATCACAGTGTGAGCTACAAAATGCCTTGTGAAAAGGATGCTCATTGATTTTAGCCTTTTGGTAATTATTATTAAAATGTGCTGCCCATGAATTAGTAGGTTAATTCCAGTCTTCTGAAATAGAATATGTAAATAAAAGTATTTGGAGCAGAAGCATTCTAAACATTTTTCTCTCTCTTTCTTCTTTCAGGCTTTGAAAATTCTTCATCTGGAATTTCAGATTGGAGAGACACGCAGTGGCTTCTAAGCCAGTGACCGAAGCTGACAAAGCATGCTGGTGCCAATCTGTCAGATGATGCTTATAGCCAGGCCAGTAGTAGTGCTCCTGAGCTTCCTACTCTGTGCTGATGCTGAAAGTAAGCTTTTCTCTCTATACTTCCTTCCCCTTTTAAAATAATGTTAGCCATGACAAACAGTTTTCTTTTCAGCTGGCACATTCTGAGGGCCTCTGAATAAGCTTACTTTTGACTCAAACTTGAGACACTGTGGGATCATCCTTGGCTCTCAGCCAGTATTTGAAAGGGATTATTTACTGAGTTCCTTACTATTTTTTCCTCACTGTTAATACCCTTTTTCTTATTCATTGGAGGGTTCCTACTGCTCTTTATTTGCTTGTGATCAGTCATTTCAAAGAGACAATGCTAGTAAAATTGTATAGCCAAAACAAAACCTAAGCTTGCTTGCCAAAAGACAAACATCACTTAGCCTTATTAGGTATTTTTCAGTTCCTTGGCTATTTTCTTTTCAAGTTCTGGAAAATAAATAATGTAATGTTGAGGCCAATTAAAATTCCAGGTCTTTTATGTCTGTCATAGCAGCTGTTCTAATGTATTATTTCCGACAGCTGTCTTGGAGTACAGTATTTGAACAAGCCATGCAGAACTGACAACTTTGAGGCTGGGCTTTAGAGTGTGAAGGCTTTTTGTGTACTACAAGCACCTAGGTTCTAAGTCCAGTACTCATATTATGTTACTGTAGTTGGTCAATTAGTTCGCCAAGTAATGAGGAGATAATGTTTAATTAAGAAATTGTTAGGTCTGCCTTGTTTACATGTTGCATGATCTTGTTGAGAGGCAGGTTGATCTAAATTCTGGTGCAGTCACTTGATAGTACTACTCTTGGTGCTAATTTTTGACAAAATATTTTGTGCTAACAGGTTGGCTGTGTAGGAGCCTGCTGTCCTGATAGCTTCTCCACAGCTGAATGTACGAATAGGAAGATAGGATCAGAATCTAGGTTTCTGTTCGTCATTCTGCTTAGAAAATATTCTAGTGACCTTGTAACCTCTTCGTACAGTACTTATGTGTGTGTGTTAAGTGCTTGTCAGGTCACTTCCAACTTATGGAAACCCTGTGAATTGATGTCTTCTAAAACGTCCTATTGTTAACAGCCATTATCGGGTCTTGCAAATTGAGGGCTGTGGCGTCCTTGATGGAATCAATCCATCTCATGTTGAGTCGCCCTTTTTTCCTACTGCCTTCAATTTTTCCAAGCCTTGCAGTGAGTCTTCTCATAATATGACGAGATTATGATAGCCTCAGTTTGGTCATTTTAACTTTTAGGGAGAGTTCAGGGTTGATTTGATCTGGAACAAACTTATTTGCCTTTTTGGCAGTCCATGGTAGCTGTAAAACTCTCCTTCAAACACCACATGTCAAAGGAATCAACTTTCTTCCTGTCAGCTTTCTTTATTGTCCAACTTTCACACCCTTACATAGTAATGGGGAATACTACGTTATGAATTAACTTGATATTGGTTGCCAGTGACACATCCTTGTATTTCAGGATCTTTTCTAGCTCCTTCATGGTACCCTTCCTGGTCCCAATCTCCTACTGATTTCTTGGGTGCAGTCTCCCTAGGGTTGCCAGGCCCTTACCTGGCACTGCCAGGGGCTGGGAGGGAGCTCTCTAGGAGTGGGGATGGGTGGGATGACGTTACCATAGAGTTTTGCCCCATAATGTTTTGGTTACCATAGAGTTTTGTCAAAAATACCAGAGCATTGCCGCACGATGCCCCCGGCATAATGATGTTACTTCCGCATGATGTCATCACATTGGGGACAGCCCACAAGCTTATAGCTGTTGGGGGTGGGCAGGAGCCCACAAAATTAGAGGATTCCCCACTCCCACCTGGGGTCTGGCAAACCTACTTTTGGTTGTTGATGGAGCCAAGGAATAAAAAATCTTGAACAATTGTATTGAAATTATTTAAGGATAGCAAGGGAATGTTAAGATGTTATCAGAAATACATCTTCATGGCACTAGTATATATAAATCTCAGAAACTGTTGATATTGGTTACTTGCATTCTTTGACATGGAATACTAGTTTTCTTGACAAGATCATGAATAAAGGAGTAAAGCTTGATTGTTCCTTGGCACATTAGTAAAAATTAATTTAGTCAAGTTTAACCAATGGATGCTTCAAGATTTTGGTGCTTTTACATCATAGTTCATTTTCACCCAGCATACACAGCTGTACAAAGGTCAGACAGACTTCTGAATTTACTCTGAAGTGCAGATTTCCCCAAATTAGTGAGAGCAATGCACATAGTAACGTTGGTATTTAATTGGGTTGCACACTGCACATAACATAAAAAGCCTAAAGAAGCTTGATTCAGGTGGGTAGCCATGTTGATCTGAAGCAACAGAACAAAATTCGAGTTCAGTGCCACCTTTGAGACCAATGAAGTTTTATTCAAGGTATAATCTTTCCCAGAATTAAATCCAAACAAATGGTGACCATATAAACTAAGCTTGTTATTCCTCTTTGGTCCTTGTATCTGTTAAAACAACTTTTATGTTGTATGCTAATTTGCTGCTCAATCTCTATCTATATGTATGGACTGGTAACTTCCATTTCAATGTATCTGAAGAAGTGTGCGTGCACACAAAAACTTATACTTTAAATAAAACTTTGTTGGTCTTAAAAGTGCCACTGAACTCGAATTTTTTTCTAAAAGAAGCTTATTTTCCTCCTGTAGTATGACTCCTATGTTTAGATGTAGCACCATGAAAGTGCATGAAATTTAAAAAGTACACACATAAAAATACATGTTTGTTGCTTAGTGGATAATGTTGAGCCTCTTCCAGACAGTTAATGACCAGCTGGGATGCTTCTGCATAAGGTTAAGCCAAGGACATTTAGCACTTCAGCCAGTAAATAATAAGCTGTAGAAAAGCTTGGTCTTACAGAATTAAACATTTAAGTACGATCATTTTAGAGAAGTTGAAATCTGCTCTTAAACAACTATATTTATTTAAACAAATATTTAATTTTGCTAAATGTAAATACATTTCAGTGAATTTTTTGAGTCCCTAGTCTGGTAAAAGTTTGAAAATGTAAATGAGATAAGCCATTGCTAGATTTTGACTGTGCTTAAAAAAACGATTGTAAGAAACTCTTACTTTAAGTGACTCCATGGAGTATACAGAAGTTCATCCTTTTTGTAGCAGTTTGCTGCCTTCTCCTTTGTTGAGTGTTTGAAGGCAGAAATTATATTCTATTGAGAATTACTAACAGATTTAAACATGCAGTTTTGTAATAAGGTGCTTTTATATCTTTTCCCGTGCAAATTGTTGTTTTTAACATTTAATTCTTTGTTGCTCAAAACAAAATAAAATTTGGCAACAGGCTATTAACCATTGTGAGTTTTGACAGGAGGTTTTTTGTTTCTGTTACCATGTTTGCCTCCTTAGACTATATCAGGATACTGCTGATATAAGGATAATAAGTACTCTGGTTTGATCGTTTCCAATTAAATGTTTCTCAATTGAAAGTATTTCAGTGATTTTTTTTTCCATTTATAAAAAAATTACTAAATGCTCTGTGGGGAAAATGATCCTCCTCCTGAAGCTGCTGTAATGTTTTATAGAAGATCTTGAGCTGTCAAGGTACAAGAGATGACGTTTACACATATTTTCGTAGTTAACTGTTTTGATCTTCAATACCCATGATTCTCCCTGTACAGTTTACCCTATTTGCTAATGATGGGATGATGGTCACTGTATTATAGGAAATACCATCTACCAAAAGTACAGGCATAATCCAGTCAAAGATGCATCTGTGTCCCATTAATGAAACAGAATTAAGCATGTGCTTAGCAGCTGAGCTACACATTGTAAAAATGGTAAGTAAAAACTCTTGACAGCAAGAAGAGCAATGTACAGTAAACAAGAAGCATGTTCATATTGAGTGGGGGGAGGCAGAGAAAAGATCTTAGCTCCTACAAAAGGAAAGTGACCTTGCCCAGCTTTTCCTTCTCCTGAAAACAGGGCTGATGACCCATGAGAGGAACCTCACACACATACACACATGCTATGACAAGGAGGGGAAAACAAGCAACCATATACTCCCTTACTCTTGCATTGCCGAGTTTCCCCCTCATTACCGTCCCACAGACACACAATAAAGCTGCTGATGTGTCTGCTATATCGTATCTGTTTTGCTCTTAGAGGAGATTAATTTTGGCTAGGTAACACCTCAGTGATTAAGTAGGAAACATGAGACAAAATTAATAA